GATAACTGAGGACATTACGCGTCAAGAGGACGCGGTATAAAGTGTGTGAGATTACCGGGGGAGGAGAGATGGGGAGATGCGGGGAGATGCGGGGCCCTCAGGGAGATGCGGGGAGATGCGGGGAGATGCGGGGAGGCTGCGGGGAGATGCGGGGAGAGGAGGAGCGTCGCCGCCGCCTTTGGGGGAGGAGAGATGGGGAGCGGTGCGGAGATGCGGGGAGATGCGGGGAGATGCGGGGAGATGCGGGGAGGTGCGGGGGGAGGCAGGGGGAGCGTCGCCGCCGCCTTTGGCGTCTCGAGGGAGAGCCACGCGTTCACCACGCGAGCCCAGAGAGGCAGCGTGGCGCGCGTGAGGCTCGCCAGGAAGGGGGGCGCCCCAAACAGCCGCCCCACCTGCCGCCGCCACGCCTTTGTCGTCGACGGCACCGCCACCACACGCAGCAGCACGCGCAGCGCCGCGTGCGACAGCCGCGCCTGCGGACGCACGTCTCGGACGTGTCCGGGGACGTGTCGCGGACGTGTCCAGACGAGCTGCGTGCGACAGCCGCGCCGAGCGGACGCGCGTCGCGGCGGCGGCGGCGGCGGCGGCGGCCGGCGGCTCGAGCGCGGTGAAGACGGGCGGCAGGAGCGCGACGAGGAGCTCCACCTGAGATCAAACGGCGAGTTCACTCCTCGTCCGAGGCGCGGCCCGCGCGGGGCGTCTGTCGGCGCCGAGTGCTGGCGGCGCGTGCTTGGCTTTGGCGGGAAGAGGGCGGCGAGCAGCGGCATCAGCGTGCGTTCGAGGCCGAGCAGGCAGAAGACGGCCGCGTCGCGCTCCTCCCACCCACCATCGTGTGGGGCGAGCGAGAGGAGAGGGAGGTCTGCGGCGGCGGCGGCCGCCGCCGCCGCGGGCCTCGCGCCGCGCTCGGTCCGGCGCAGCGAGCGGGAGAGCTGGGTGGAGGTTGCGCGGAGGAGCGCCTCGGCGACGTCCTTGGCCTCGTGCCGCTCCTTGGCCGAGAGCAGGGGCGAGCCGTCGCCCAGCGGCTCCATCCTCCGGACCCACTCCCACAGCACGGCGAGCAGCGCGACGGGCGCCGACGACGAGCCAACCATCGCCGCGCGGAAGAGCGCGAGCAGCTTTGGCCTTGCGCGGTGCGGAGACGCCGACACGTCGGGGCGGGAGGACGGTCGCTTGTGCACTGTCTACTGTCGAAGGTGGCGACGTGTGCATCCTCGGGCCGCACGACCACGGTGAATGCCGCGGGGAGGACGGTCGAATGCGGCGGAGGCTGTGTCCTCTCGGGGGCGAGTTGGAAAGAGGAAGAGGGGCGTGTCCTCTGGTGTCTGGCCGCTTCTACGGCGGCGCGACACCAGCCCTCGGCGAGGGAGGTGAGCGGCTGCGCGAGCTGCAC